TTTTTTTCTTTCGTGTTTCTTCGGGCTTAAGGTCTACAAGGATAGGAATGTCGTGGCCCAGCTCGTAAGGCGAGCTGAAAGGGCTGGGTTTAAGGCCATTGCACTTACTGTGGATACCCCTCGATTGGGACGTAGAGAAGCTGACATTAAGAACAGGTTCAAACTTCAGTATTTTGATTTTCAGATATTATAGTAAGTACTAAGTAGGGTTGCAAACGAGCCGAGTTGAGCATTGGTCTTACCGAGCAAGATTGATTTTTTTTACCTGCTCGAGCTAGAGCTCAATTTATGACGCTCGAGATCGTCTCGACAAGAGAAGACGATCGCTCGAGCTCGGCTTGAGATCGATTAAAATCAAAATGCTGGAAAGATTGCTCGAGCTCGGCTTGAGTTTGACTCAATTTTCAAGTAAAAATACGGAATACCATTAAGTACATATATAAAATATTGTAATACTTATATAAGGGGTATTTTAGTAATTCACTACATACGCGAGCGGCTCGGCCTTCCAAAACCTATGCTCGAGATCGACTCGATAACATGCTCGAGCCGCTTGAGCTCGAGCACTCGCGAGCCGCTCTGTTTGTTTGCAGCCCTAATAGTAAGGTATATAAAGATAAGCACGGTTGGAGTCTGAAATGAGCTTTCGATACGGTGTTATATGTATGCAGGTTTACTTTGCCACCTGGTTTGACATTGAAGAATTTCGAGGGTTTGGACCTTGGGAAGATGGATGAAGTAAGCGATGAATCTAAAGAATTGGTCAAGGCTACAAACGAGATTAATAATAATAATTCATATTTTTCTAACTCAAATTCCGTGTTGTTAGGCTGCTGATTCTGGGTTAGCTTCATATGTTGCGGGTCAAATTGATCGCACTTTGAGCTGGCAGGTAAAATAAATCGGCTCTTCTAGAAAACATATGTTACGAACTTATGATTTATGAAGATCGTAAGTTCAAAATACATTTATAAGCTCAAAATTCCCTTAAAACTATAAGCTAGCTTATCAGCTAGGTTTGACAAACATAGCCTAATTTTACCACATTTTTATCATATAAACTAGCTATTCAGTCAAAAGTCATAAGCTTTTAACTATAAGTTTGAAATTCACTTAAAAGCTGAGCCATAAGCTAGCTTATCAGTTAGGTTTACCAAACATAGTCATGTTCACGCACAAACACAAGCACAAAACACGTTCATTATGATTTTCACGTCTGAACTGTATTTTAACTGAATTTCAACGTCAACAGGATGTGAAGTGGCTACAAACAATTACTTCACTGCCTATCCTAGTCAAAGGTGTACTCACTGCTGAAGATGGTATGAACTCATAACACCTGCTCGCCTTTTTTTTTCTTTTCAATAATTTTTATTGTGTGGCGTATAATATAAATAAATAAATGCTCGTTCTAACTTTTTTTTTTCTCGTCACGAAATTCAGCAAGGCTCTCCATTCAAAATGGAGCAGCGGGTATTATTGTGTCGAATCACGGTGCTCGCCAGTTGGATTACGTGCCTTCAACTATACGGGCTCTTGAAGAGGTATTAGTATTACTCGACTTTTCATGTTAGGCTGTGTTTGGTAACTGGTAAGCATATAAGCTACCTTACAACTTATTTGATTAGCATATAACCTTACGTATTCAAGTAAGCTTGGTTTGGTAGGACAAGCTTTTTAAAAAAGCTCGAGTTTATCTCATACGTTCATTTGGTAGCTTTCAAATAAGCCAATTGAAATTTTTATTTCAGCTAGCTTATCAGGTAATTTTACCAAACATTTTTATCATACAAGCTAGTTTTTCAGCCATAAGTCATAATCTAAAGCTTGAAATTCACTTAGAAGCTATAAGATAGCTTATTAGTTAGGTTTGCCAAACATAAACTTAAAAGCTTATGAAAACTATCTGGTTGATTTAACTTATCCTCTGATCGTTTGGTGCAATTTCAGGTCGTCAAAGCTGCGCAAGGCCGAGTTCCCGTATTCTTGGATGGTGGGGTCCGTCGTGGGACGGACGTGTTCAAAGCATTGGCACTCGGAGCCTCTGGCATTTTCGTAAGTCTTTTTTTTTTTTCTTCAACAATTACCCTTTGAGGCTTAGCTTAAATGCCGTAAGAAGAAGTTTATATGTGGGAATAGGGATGTAAAGAAATCAAGCATTTTCGATTCGATTCGTTATTCGAATTCGTAAAAATTCTAATTTTAATTCGAATAAGTATAGTGTTTAGTATTTGAAATTTATTCGAATCTGAATCCGAATATACACATATTCGATTCGAATTATCGAATATTCGATTTGTCAATAATAATTATATATAATTTAATATATTATATATCATATAAGGTTTTATTTATATAATATATTAAGCATAATTATAAAACACAAAAAATATTTATATTTAAAAAAGCATATTTAATTTATTTATAATATATGCTTATATTTAAAATTTGATATTATATTAAAAAATATAAATATATTTATAAATAATTTCTGAAAACAATTTCGAATCGAATCAAATATATTCAATTATCTTAATCGTATCGAATACAAATCATAAATTAAATTCGATAACGAAACGAATAGGATATGAATACGAATAGTCGAATATTTTCACGAATTCGAATCGAATCGAATATATTCGATTATCTTAATCGAATCGAATACGAATCACAAATTAAATTCGATAACGAATTGAATACGAATACTAATAATCGAATATTTTTACGAATTTGAATTGAATCGAATATATTCGATTATCTTAATCGAATCGAATACGAATCACAAATTAAATTTGATAACAAATTGAATACGAATACGAATATTCGATTATTTATACGAATTCGAATCAGATCGAATATATTCAATTTATCTTAATCGAATTGAATATGAATCACAAATTAAATTCGATAACGAAACGAATAGGAATACAAATAGGAATAGTCGAATATTTTCACAAATTCGAATCAAATCGAATGTTTTCTCTTATCTTAATCGAATCGAGTATGAATCGCAAATTAAATTCGATAACGAAACGAATAGGAATACGAATAGGAATAGTCAAATATTTTCACAAATTCGAATCGAATCGCATATTTTCGATTATCTTAAGTAGGAATAACAAATTAAATTCGATAACGAATCGAATGCGAATACGAATAGTCGAATATTTTCACGAATCGAAGAGAATATATTTGATTATCTTAATTGAATCGAATCCAAATCATAAATTAAGTTCGATAACGAATCGAATACGAATAGTCAAATATTTTCACGAATTCGAATCGAATCGAATATATTCTATTATCTTAATCGAATCGAATACGAATCACAAACTAAATTCGATAACGAATCGATTACGAATACGAATACGAATAGTCGAATAGTTTCACGAATTCGAATCGAATAGTTTGAGTATTCGCTTCGCTTCAATTCGGTTCATTTACATCCCTACCCCTACCCTACTGTGGAAGATACGTAGAGCCTTTTGTCAATATTTTGAATTGAAAGAGTAATTACTAATTACAACAATCATCCCGAAATGTAAATTATGAAAGCTTAAAGTCAGCACAAGATGTTTGCTATACGGTGCACTCCAATTCAAACTCGAAGGCCACAGTCGAAACTTAAAGATTATATGACGTCAGTTTTTACGCCCGTCTAACATTTTAGACGAAATGCATGATCTTTTGCCATCAGATTGGGCGACCTGTCGTATTCTCACTGGCTGCTGATGGAGAAGCCGGTGTGAAGAAAGTGCTCCAGATGTTGAAAGATGAGTTTGAGCTGACAATGGCATTAAGTGGCTGCCGTTCGTTGAGTGAGATAACTCGAGCCCACATCGTAACCGAGTGGGACGTTCCAGGGGCCCTACCTGCTGCCAGGCTGTAAGTTGCCGAGAGCCTCGAATAACCCGATTCGGGTTTGGATTCGATTTTTATTTTGTTATATTGAAATAGTTCTTGGATATGTAACTAAAAATGAATAAAAAAAAAGCTTTTGAATGGTGATGGACAAAGTATATGTTTTTGCTAATGCTGGAAAACAATTTACCTTTGTTTTGTATATTATTGTTGATTCATGCACAATGGTTTTGTTTGTTTGTATATTATTTTTGGTTCATGCACAATGGTTATCTTGAAAGCATAGATCATAGATGCCATGTTCAAATCCAACTGAAGAATGTGTAAATTGGACTAGGATATGAGACTCATAATTTAGTACTTTTTCTAACACAAAAAATAAATTAAACTTATATATAAAATTTACTGATTTTGTTTATATTATTTTTTAAAAATATTAGTTGTATTTGAAAATGTGTATGTTTTTACTGAAAACAAAATAAAAAATAAAAAAATGCAACTACCAAACGGTTACCATATGACCATTTTAGTGTTTTCCTTGCCTAGCCAATAATCCAAAATATAAACAACAAGCTTACTGTTAGGCAGTAATTTATTCCAACAAATTTGCATCCATATAATCTGAATTGTGCTGCTCTAAAAATAATATAAACACAAAAGTATAATATTTTATAGCAATATCATGCTTTTTTATTTGAGAAAAAAATTATAACGAGTCAACATGCCTAACAGTTAAACTGCCTCATATAAAATTTTTGCGAGATATAAATGATAAATGATTAGTGAAAGAAGTTTTTAGATTATCTAAAAAATTCCAAATGACATTTATCGAAAACTTTATATTCCAAATTCATTTACCCAAAAAATAAATAGATTGAAAAAAGAAACGAGTATTAAATCTCCACAAAATATACCTTTTTATGATATAATAAAATCTACAATCTATACTTATATAAAAAGACATTCTATTTACTAAAATTAGTAGTAAGAAAAGTCAAAGGTAATTAATGCATTCTATATCCATCAAGTATTTTATTTAATTATTTTAGTTAATTGTTTTATCTTATAACACCTTTTCAATACAACTTACCATGCTTTTTCTATTGTGATTAAAAAACCAAATTTTACGTCTAAAATTTTGTGAAATTATTATTATTATTTTTATAAAGCACATATTATTTGCTATTAAATTATATATATATATATAATACACATCACAGTACCATGGTAGATGATTTAAATTTCAACCGACCAAAATGCCAATGATTTAAATTTGAACACACCTATGCGTTTGACCAAATGTCTGGATGATTTAAGATTGAGCCCATAAAAAATTATTTAAATTTGAACACACCAGAAATTTTATGTACTTTTTATTTATAAATATATTGAAAGTGGTATTTAATGGCTGTTATATAAACTATTCTAATATATTTGCAATGAATAAAAGTTTGTAATGTTATTCATAATGTTTGTGACTTATGAGACACGAACACATAACTCCATACATATTTGCCAGAGGGCGCCTTAATAATTTTTTAGATTTAACGTTGATTAAAAGAGGTAAAAAATAAGTAATAACATTGTTACTTTTTGGACTTAAACGGACAAGACTGTGAAAATAACTCATTTAATATTTTTGTCCCGTGTATCGCACGGGGTACGTACTAGTTAACATGTAATTATTGGGAGGGAAAACAATTTTGGAGATATCATTCAAGTTATTGGAGAGATTATCAATTTAATTAATTAATCAATCATACTTCACTTTAGTTCCATTAGCTTTTTTAAAAGGTTGACCGACGAAAATTTAATGTTTGGTAATCGGGTTTTCATAATGGCGGTTTTGGTTTGAAACGCCAAATTAAAAACGCTGCTATTAGCAGCTTTTTGAGTTAGCGGATGGCTTTAAAATACAACACTTATATTTAGTTTTTTTTTCTTTCCTCAAAGTTATTCCACTATGAGTTTCTTGTATTTAATACACTAATAATTATCTTGATTTTTGAGTGGCTGTTTTTTATAGCATTTTTTGCTTTGTGTCGGTTTTACTTTTTTTTTTTAATATCTTGTTTTTATGATTTTTAATTTTTGGTTGAAATGAATAAACGTGGTGTTATTTAATTTTAATATGAAGATATTTATAAAAATATGAAATCCTATTTTTATACTTGGACGTTGCTTTATATGTGATCAAATTTTTATATTTTTTATGAATTAAAAAAAATATATTAAGGAACACCAATATAGAAAATAGAATTTTAAATAACTAACAATAATCCGCTAATTTTACCGAACACATTTTACAAGCTAATACTTAACTTTTGGTCAATCAGCTAATTGGATCCATAGTGTGTTTGATCAATCGTATTCATTACTAAATTTATTTTCTATAACATCCTCATTAAGTGCAACTTTGCTCTAATTAAATAATAATCCTAGAGATCTACCCCACTAACTAATAGTATTATCCAACGGTCGTAAATAAGTCACAAAATTAGATTAGTCCCACGCACCCACTCGATCACTTACCGGTCCGGCGCGCGGCACACTTCGCCGGACAAGCGCTAGCTCCGACTAGAAGATCGAAGCTCTGTAGTGGTAAAGCCGGGCCGATGACCCATCACAACAGGTTTCCGTGAAAGTCGCGAGCATTTTCTTTGATTAAATAATAGGAATTTCCCTCGTCGCCGATCCGCCGCCGTCACCGCCTCGAGAACCGGCGGCCACCGACCGTTCCGCCGACTTGTCACCGTAATCAGGACTGCGGGTCTTGTTTTTCCAAGCTCTCGGACTCGGATGAGTTGCTAGCCACGTAAAACCTTGTTGTATGTTAAAAAAGTTCGCACCTTGATCTGATCTTGTCTTTATCTTGAATCTGTAATTTCAGTTGGCCCTTCATTTTTTAACTGAATGTTTGTGGTTAATAACACACTTTGGTGTTGGTGACTACACTTGACAGTACAGATAATTTCTGCTCATTTGAGCTGCCTTTGTGGTTGGTCGCATAGATGTTCACTTTGAATGATGTTTTTTGAGCTTACTTACAATCCTAAGCTCAGTATATTTGTTTGTCTTAATAAAGGCTGAAAGTTGCTGCTTTTGGTATCCGATTTTGATGTGGGCGAAAAATTTGAAGCCTTTGCTATTATGGTACTGTTCTCAATTTCAGTGACAAGTGTAGATTTACATTTGATTAGTGAATGAGTCTTCTGTGTGTGTGATTCTGAAAATATATAGGATTTTTTCAAAAGTTTCAGAAGGGTTTACTCAGCCTGACTCGAAAACATTCCAATGAGATTGTGAAGTATCATTTCTTTTATACTTCTGGGTTTTATGATTTGAAATTTTCGTGTGAAAATTCATAGAGTTAATCAAAACAGATTGAGAAAGGAAGTAGGGGTTGCTTATATTTTTCTGACAATATAAATTAGCAAGTATCAATTTCACGGTAATGCATGCCATCTTTACTTCGAGAGGCAAAAGTAGGTTGATCGATGCTCTTTGAATTTGCGTAGCCTTAAAGAAAATGAAGAAGAATGTTGTTAGATGCTCTAAAGTCTAAATACACATGAAAACTTTCCATCCTTCTTTCTGTTATCTTTCTTGGGAAGGTGCTCGTACAAGCATTTCAATTATTTCAAATCAGACTGTTAAGATATAACATTTTAAGGTTTTATATCTGCATTTTCATCTTCTATGTCGATTTCCTTTAAGTTATGTCATTATATTACTTCTAATAGTTCTTTAGCTACCAAGTTCGTCATTCTACAATCTAAATACATACATGTCTTATCTCCCGTGATGTAAATTATGCCTGGCTAGGTATCTAATTTAGTAAAAATGGAGCTTTTGATGATTAATGGGTTGGAATAGCTAGGTCAGGACTGACATGAAACTTGTGTGCCAAAAAAAATAAAAAGGCCAGTTGGATTGATTTGGGTCCAGTTGCATGGCGACATATGTTGAGTTGCTTCATTATATGGCTCGGATAAATCTTTATTATAGATGATCAATAACAAGAATCCAAATTAGATGGTGATTTTGCCTTTCAAAGTTTGTCAACGAGTCCCACAATCATTTATCTTTTATGTATTTCCTGATCATGCATTTCGACATTCATAACATTCATTTTTCGTTATGTCATTTAATATCTTTTATTCTTTTTAATTATCTATCTCCTACTCTGTTGTTCTCCCATTTGTATGGTTGAGCATTTTGGGACCCATAACTTCATTCGGTGGGCGCACATTGTTTAGTTAAGTTGTCTTCAAGCATATCTTTTATGTCCGACCTACTTTTCAACGAGAAGCCACCATTTAACACTACTTTTTCGAGAATAATATATTTAGAAAGTTTGCTGGTTGCCATTGTCACACGGCTGCAAGATTTAGGCTGTTCCCTATTTACGGTAGTTTTTGATTCAGAAGATAAACACATCTTGATAACTTTGCCGAACTAAATTTGGTGTAATTGTTTTCAGCTTACTTGGGAAGCATTTTGAGCATTCTCATTCTCCTTTTGCATATTGTTAAATTTAGCACTTTATCTTATGAAATTGATATGTTTAAAATCTTTTCATTAGTTTGGTGGATGGATTTTGTCCCATATAAGCAATTGATTAATCACTTTTCTGATGTTTTCAGCTTGACAATTAACTGAACTCCATGTATGACTTTGTACATTAAGAAAACAAATGTACTAAATATCACTTTTGTACTGTCTTTTCACTTAATTTGTTAGGTACAAAGGACTTCCAATGGGAAAAAGAAACCGAGCGGCTGTGGTCGTGCTTGGTGATATCGGCCGTAGTCCCCGAATGCAATACCATGCGCTCCCCCTTGCTCGCCAGGTGTTTATTTATGAGATTTTGCTTGTTATATACTTAAGCTCATTATTTTGTGATAATGTTTGTATGTTCCTTTTTTTTATTTATTTATTATTTTTTTTTTTTTCTCATGTTTGGATCTGACTCTTAAGTCTGATACCTGATAGCATGCATAGAATTGAGGGAAAAAAAAGTTCAGTTCTATCGATTTGCAATGTTAATGTAATTCCTGTAGGTTGGAGAGTCGTGTCTAACTATAGCTGTTTTGTAATCATTTCTTCATATGCTAAATAATAAAAAAACTGGCAGTATATCTGAGTTTGCTATATCTGAGTTTGTAATCGATTTGCACTGTAATTTTTAACGTGCTAGTCTATTGTCTTGGCCTTGTAAGCGTTACAATTTTGGACTTTTGAGTACTTTCTTTCTGTCTGCATTAGAAGCTTTTGTTATAGTGTAAGCATTGAAAAGTTCTCTTTTTTCCTTTTTACTCATTCTTTTGGGTTTCTAGAATAATAAAACCAACAATTTTCTTGTAGGCCATTTTGGAAGTTGATATTGTCGCATATGGAGGTATGCTTGTGTCACAAAATATCTTTGATTTGTCAGTCTAAACCTCATCATTTTTCTCTATTATATAAATTGTTTCTGCATCAAGATCCGATAAGATCTAAATTTGTTCATTACTCTCTTCATTTACTTATTATTATGCCACTGCCATTGATTATAACAATGTACCGCTTGGTTCTTTTCCTGAGTAATGAATTGATCTTTGTTAGGTTCAGAGCCACATATTTCAGTTTTGGAGCACCAATCTATTTATATTCATAAAATGGTAAGGTTACGGTTATGCTTAGTGAACTTATGTATAAGGATATTCAAGTCCTGAGAAAAAAAATCTGTTTTTTTTTTTTTATTTATTTTTTTTGCACAGCCCCAATGGCCGATATTTCCCAAATGCCTGAGCATACTTCGGCAGTTAATTCTATTTTTCAAGCCGATTTTCCAGTTTCTTGTGCTGCTTTGGTATCTTTGTGTAAAGATACCAGCTCCTGATGTATTCATAGTGCAGGTGAGTTGCGTATTTTGAATAATTGTCTCAAAATCTCGTATTTAATTGATTTCAATTGATCTTATTATAGGTGGTCTTGATATGATTGATTATTTTCGAGGCGCTTGAATGTAATGAAAAAGCTCACCATATAATATATATTCTGAATTTACTTATTTTTCTGAATTGTAGCTGAATTTTCTGTTGGCAGTTGAAAGATAAGAAGACTATTCGGAATATCAATTTTTACACTAAAGTTACAATATTTTTCATTTTGCAGAATCCTCCATCTGTACCTACTCTAGTGGCTGTGAAGTGTGCTAGCTGGATTAGAAATTCAGCTTTCATCGTCGATTGGCATAATTTTGGATATACTCTGCTTGCTTTGTCCCTTGGAAGGAATAGTCTCTTTGTTGCAATGTACCGTTGGTGAAATTGAATTCTTCCTTATTTTACTCAGAATGATTCTTCGAGGTCCGATTCTTCTCGAGTTACAACTGTAATATTTTTTTGTTTTTTTTTTATTTTTTTTTTGTGACTAGGATCGAGAAGCAATTTGGCGAAATGGCTCATGGTTCCTTGTGTGTGACGAGAGCAATGCAACACGAGTTGTCCCACAATTGGGGAATTAAGTGAGAGCGTTAACCTCAAAACTTTTTTCGTGCATTGTTTCGATTTTACATTTTTTCATTTTTTGTTATTTTAGAGCCACTGTTCTATACGATCAACCTCCAGAATTCTTCCAGCCTGCTTCACTCGTGGAGAAGCATAATGTGAGTGAATTTATATGCCATAACATATTAGCTTGAAGAGTCAGTAAAAATTCTAAAGTCGATGATCTTTCTTCTAGTTGCTTTGCAGGATTAGTAAAAATCTTAATGAGCCGGTTGGTCGAAGGGATTGCATAAGCAATGGTAAATGAAGGAATTTATTTTCCTCCCCTTCATTTTTTGTTATTTCTACTCTATCTATTTTCAAGGATATTTATGTGGTGTAAAATGCTTCAACGTGATCGAAGCAGATAACAATGATCCAAATTCGACTCTATTTACAACTAAAGTTGGCAGTGAAATATTACTGAAGCAAAACAGACCAGCACTTCTTGTTAGCAGTACAAGCTGGTATATTATACACTCCTTTTTTATTCAATTTCGAGACGGTAAAAAAAACGACTGAAACGGCATGTACACCTAGTTGTATACCAAAAAATTCAAAAACGAAAAAACTCTTAAATAATGGTTAAAAGGGCTCAAACGGAATTTCTTTTGCCACAGTACACCGTTTTTTAAGGGTATATTACAAACTTAGATGGTGAAAAATCAATTTCGAGACAAATCAAAAAAACGATTGATCTTTAGATTGACATGGATGGAGTGTAAATAATATTTTCACGCAGGACACCCGATGAAGATTTTGGGATTCTTCTAGAAGCAGCCTTTATGTATGATAGACGAGTTGCTACACTGCTCGGTGAGGATAACTTAACTGATGATGAAGTTGTTTGGAATGAAATTCGTAAAGGAAAGCAATTCTCATACCCGAGATTGTTGTTCATTATTACCGGTAAATGCCCAAATACGTATTTAAACTTCACTTTATTGAATTGATCCAGCATGTGTTTATGATATCCAAAATAGAGTCTTATTACCCAACAACAAAGTGTAGGTAAAGGACCTGAGAAGGAAAAGTGTGAGGAGAACATTCGAAAGATTAGTCTGAAACGTGTTGCTTTCCGTACCATGTGGTTGTCTGCGCAGGATTATCCATTGCTTCTTGGTAGTTCTCTCCTGAAAGTTTAATTACTAATATTCCCTTGAAATTTAAGTCTATTACCAAAACAAAGAAAAAAAATCGAATTTATGGAAAAATTTATGCCTTCAGGTTCAGCTGACTTGGGCGTGTGTCTGCATACTTCGTCGTCTGGATTGGACTTACCCATGAAGGTTTTGCATTGATATGTTATAATTTTAATTGCCAAAAGAATAAAAATAAAAATATCTTGTAATGTAATTTATATAAAGTTCGATCATCTTGCAAGTGCATAAAACTAATTGCGATTTACTACACAATCTTCCCTATAATCATTATGTTTTGAACATTTTGTTGGAAAAATCTATACTTATATTAAAAGCTAAACTATTTACTAAATGTAGTATGTAGAATAGTCAACCCTAATTAATGATTTACTATTTTTATCAAACATTTAATTAAAGAATCTAATATTTTTGGTATGCAAATCAAATTAGCATTTAATTAGTTCCTAAAATATTGAGTATGCAATATTAATTTAGGAATATACATGTAGTTCTAAAATGTTGGTATGTAATACGTAAAAGAAGACTTTTTTTAATTTTTTAAATATAAAATATTGCAACACGTAAAAGTATTCCAGTTATTTTTTTTTATTTTATTTTACATATAAAATCTAATCAATATTTAATACTTCATACAAAATTGGATTTAGTTTAATTCTCCATACAATTGGTTGTAACTTTTTTAGTTGTACATTTTTATTTATTTATTTTACACTTTTAAATTAATGAAGCTCTCCGAAAATACCAAATCAAATGATTTATGGAAGTTTTTTTTTTTTTTTTTTTTT